GGGGACCATGAGTCACATCAGCAGCCCTGGGAAAGCCACCTACCGTCTTCCCTGTGTCTCGATGCCTCGAGCCCTGCAGATTCCAGCCCTGGCCTCCTTTGGTCCCTCAGCCAGACCCGCTCTTCCCTTCCTCAAGGCTGTCCCTCTATTTATGACAGAGCTTCAGCCATGGACCTCTTACATCCCAGCCTCTGTCCAGATGTCACCTGCCCAGAGAGGCCTTCCCGGGCCCAGCCACACCAGCGCCCCACTGCGTCGCCCTCGCCACCGCCCTCCAAACTCTCTCACTGCCTTCCCAGCTGACCGTCCGGCTCCGACCCCTGGAAAGTCACCTCCAGGGACCACGACCTTGTCTGTCATGCTTGCCAGAAAGAGGCCTAGCAGGAAGCAGGTCCATTACGGATGCTCATTTCTGCTTTTCACAGTTTACCCGCTGTTTTTGTTTCCACCACATGCTCAATCCACACAAGCCTGAAAAGTAGTTTCTTGCCCCTTCCAAGATGAGCAAGCTGAGGCCCCAAGAAGTAAAGGGACTTGCCTGAGGTCGCTTAGCCAGGAAGTAGCGCAGCTGGGACACAAACCCAGGTCTTTCTGACGCCAAACATCTTGTGATGTGTAAGTTTGGTCCCTGTGAACACATTCTTCGGGCTGATTCCCCCCTTGTGCAAAGACAGCACCTTGGATCCCTGCCCGCCCAGTGGCTGTTGTGACCAATGTCCATTTAGGGACCAACAAGTCCCCACGGGGGTCAGGCGTCTGCGGCCGCCTTTGCTGGCACGGGAGCTGGGCCACTCACCTCTCAGGCTTCGGCTTCCTCATCTGTAAAATGGGCATCATCATAATCCTCACAGCCTGCTACAGAGTTCCATACATGGAGTCTATTATTAATGTTATGTTATTTGTATGTGTATATGTTCAGTACAGAAGTAGAACCCCAGTACATTTCTGTCACCAAAAAAATAATAAAACACTGCAAATAAAGGGACAAACTAAAGCTCCAAAAGGTAAAGACACCTGCCCGAGGTCACACAGGAGGAAGGAGCGGGACCACATCCCAAAGCAGGATCTTCCAGCTCCGGGATGGCTCAAGCCATGTCTTCTGGGATCAAAGGCCCACCTGGGGACAGACCGCCCAGCACAGCTTCCGTCTTTTCGTTCATTCATTCACTCCTTCATTCAACCTTTGTGAAGGGCAGGCCTCCTGCTGTGTTAGAGATTCCAGCAGCGCCTGACATTCTAGAAGGGGGCATGAGAGAGGGACAGCTGCTCCAGGACGTGCCAGTCCCATGAGTCCTGCCGGGAGACAGATTCGGAGAAGAAGAGAGGGGGATCATCATGTCTAGACTGCTTATAGTTTTAGAGGCAAACACATTTCTCCCGTTACTATAAAGAAAAAAACCCCAGCCAGAGGAAGTCCACAGGCAGAGGGGAAGCAGGGTGAAGCCTGATGAGAAACCGAGGGGCTTTGCGAGGCCCGAAGCGCCCGGGATCCAGCATGGATGCCCGGGCACTCAGATCGAGAAAGGGTCAAACGGGGGGCGCGGGGAGCTGTCAGCCGTGCTCAGGGCCCATTAAAAAAGCCCCCGAACCCAAGGGTCATTTCCTCCTGCACAGTGGATGTATTATTTTATATATCTGGCCAAACACAGGGGAGAAATGCAGGCTCTGCGGCCAGGGCCCAAGAGAGAGAGGAGAAAAGAAAACAAGGTGAAGTGGAGTTTTATGAGAGGCACTAAATCCCCTCGCACGAGGAATCACACGGGCTGCTAACGAGGACGACTCCGGAAAGTCTAGGGGACCAAGTTAGGGGAGACGCAGGTGATGGGAGAGAGGTGGGTAAAAATGCACGTGCGTCTGTGCACATTCGTGCACACATGCATGCGTGCACATGTATGCACACAGAAAGAGAGCCGTGCTGGGAAGAAAGACATCAGGGGAAGAAAACAAACCCTACAAGGTAGAGCTCTGGAACCATCCCAAGAAGAGCCCTTTCACATAGAACCTTCCATGCTCTGGGACCGTGGGCAATGAGGGGGATGCCCCTCTGGGCTCCCGCAGACCACCCAGAGTCATGGTCACCTGCAGGGAGCCCGGTCTCACTTCCTGTCCCCCACTGTCCCCTTCTCGGGCCTGGGAGCTAAGTGTGGTATAAGACATAGTCTCTCTCTCACACACACACACACATGCACACACTCATACTCATTTACACACACATGACTTTAATTCCTTTTCCTTTGGGTGGATGGAGGGAGCTTCTGGAGCAACCATTGAAAGGGCCTCCATGTTCTCCAAAACTGCCAGCTCCCCGCCCGCTTGGGCTGCAGTAAGAGACCGCTTTTCCCCCCACGTGGAGTTGTGGGAGGGCCCAGTGATGCTTATAAGCACTTAGCACTGTCCCTGGTACAGTGCCGGTAAATGGGAGGCATTATTTTTCTTTTTTTGTTTGTTTTTGTTTGGGAGGGAGGGGCCGAGGGAGAGAGAGAATCTTAAGCAGACTCCACGGCCAGCACGGAGTCCGATTCGGGGCTTGATCTCACGACTCTGAGATCATGACGTGAGCCGCAACCAAGAGTCAGACGTTCAACAGATTGAGCCACCCAGGCGCCCTGGCATTATTTTTCTTTTTATCATTGGCAGTGACCTTGGGAGGGCCTGTGCCAAGGAGATGGGAAGGGAAAAAGCAATGAGGAAGCCGGGGCAGGAGTGGTCAGGGAGCAGCAAAGGGTAAGGTTCTGCTGTGGGGTTAGGCCTCGTGCAACTGAGGGATCCAGTGTCACTATGCGCCACCCAGACTGGCAGTCAGAAATGGAGACTGGGGGTGCATGACGGCGAGGACAACGGGGACAGCGCATCCACTGCTGAGCATGGGGGAGGGGAAATGCGGGTTCTGTCACCAGGCGGAGGGATGAAGGTGGCCTGGAGAGATGCCTGGTGTCCACTCAGTTGTGCCCTGCCTCCAACTGTGACTCTGAGCTCGCCACTGGCCACTCCATTTCCTCTCTGGGAGTCTGGGGACCCCATCTCCGCACAGATCTCTGGCTCAGTCCGCCACTACCCACCGTGCTTTCCAGCAGCGCTCCCCTCGCCCATGGCCAGCCGCCCCCTCCCCTCCAAGCCTCCACAGCTGGGGGCCACAGCCAAGAATTTCGGCAAAGTGCCTCACCCTCCAAACAAACAAACCAGAAGGAGGCACGGCCTAAGTGTCCTTTTGGTCCGCTGCCTGATCTGGAAGCCCTGCCTGATTTCTTTCAGGCCCAGCTGTAGAAAACACAACCTTTATCTAACAACTGAGAAACAGCCCTGAGTTCTGATGTGGGTTGCAGCGAGACATTTGTCCTGGACAAAGGTAATCTGGCAAACCTCCCAGCCCTTCCGGGCACCCACCCATCCAAACTGTGCAGGCTCTTAGTGAATTTGTCGAAGTTAGCGACAGGTTCTTCCAGAAGGGAGTGCCAGTCTGAGCCCGCAGAACGTGTGCCAACGTCTGGGCAGGGGTGCAGTAAATTGCCCATTGTCTGAGGGACGGCCTGTGAGGTGGCCTCAGAATCTGCTCCCAGACCACACTCCCCTACTTCTTTCGGGAACATGAGCCGGAGGCTTCAGGATCCCCTGACTCGGCTGCCAGCTCCTATAACCCCTCCAGGCCCAAGCCGACCGTCACGGCCAGGGTAGGGGGAGCCCAGGGTGAGTCTTGTTCCCCAGCCCATCCCAGGTTGCTCAGCTGGCAGGGTGATCAGGACGCCTGGGTGTCCATGTGGGCCACGCCCAACCACACCCCCCCTCCTGCCAGCCATCCCCTGCATCTGATGCTGCAGGGACAGGGAGTGACAGGACTGGGCCCTGCGTTGCCTGAGTCACAAATTCCCGATGCCTTCCTGACCCCCCCATTTAGCCTTCAGGTGACTCGACTTCTGCCTTGGGGACTTAGGCTGGCAAGCAGCCCCCAGTAGTGACAGTGGCTGGATTTGCACGTGCTCTTGCCACCCAGTGGTTCTCAATGGGGCAGGATGGGGGGCACATCGGGTACACCCGTGGGGGAGGGGGAGGGACCGACTGCTCAGCGCCCACCTCCGACCCACTACTCGGAATCTCCAAAGCCCTGGCATCCGCTGCATTAGGCTCCCAGGCCCCTGACAATTGCATTGTAGGGCACAATTCTTCAGGCTTAATCCCAAGAGCCGGAAGACCCAGGACGGAGCCCCAACTCAGCCCCTTATGAGCTGTGTAAACTTGAGCACATAACTGAACCTCTCTGAGCCTGTCTTCTCATCCCTAAAGTGAGGGTGATACTGGCACCTCCTCCACAGGGGGCATGAAGAAAATACGGGAGCATTCCCTACGGCCCTCGGCACAGGGCTTGGCGCAGAGTGAACTCTCAATAAATACCGGCGGTCGGTACTGCTGTTGCCACGAGGCGGAGAGCCTGCTGTTAAGACTGCCCTGCCTGCTCTCGGGCCACGGTCTCTCTCTGCCCTTTTTCACTAGCCAAAATATACCCCTCCCCGTCAGGGCCGCCACGGGTGGTTGCACGGCTCGTACACTGCACAAAGTGCTGTCGCTGGAATTGGGGCTGAAGTCCCACCTGACTGCGCACCGGCACGTGAGCGGTACCCACAAGAGACACATTTTCTAATCTGCCCCAAAGCGCCACACAAGCTGTCTCTACCTAACAGGCTCCGGCAGGAAGAGAACAGTGATCCGCTGGTTTGTAAAACTGTATAGATATATATATATTTGGAGGACAACTTGAGGAATCGGAAAATCAGTTTATTATTCATTGAGATTAGAATATGATAATTAATTTTCTTAGGCTGGATTATTTAGGAGTGATGTGTCATGACGTTTACAACTTCCTTTGAAATGTTTCAGACAAAATATATAGATACAGATGTCCATACAGATACAGAGAAATATAGATCTGGAGAAATAATGTACATAAGCAAACAAATATGGCCAAATGTCAACAGCTATTATAACCAGGTACTAAGTATGGTGAATAGTTGGGCTATTCTTTTTTTTTTTTTCAAATATTTTATTTATTTATTTATTTGAGAGAGAGAGAAAGAGCACGCACACGCAAGCGGGGGGAGGGGCAGAGGGAGAGAGAGAATCCCAAGCAGACTCTGCAATGAGCGCAGAGCTTGACACGGGGCTCGATCCCACAACCCCAAGATCATGACCTGAGCCAAAACCAAGAGTCGGATGCTCAGCCAAACAAGCCACCCAGGGGCCCCTGTTGGACTATTCCTGCATCTTTTCTGTACATCTGATGGTTTTCATAATAAAATTACAAACTATTTTGATTTTACTCATAATTTTTGTAAAGGAAACGGTGAGAAAGGGGTCCCGGGGCCAGCTGAATTCTCTCTATCCTCCCCCCCAGCCTGCACAGTCATCTTCCTTTCCAAGAGAGACCCTCCCGGGCAGGCCCTTGCCTGCTTTGGGCGTGTGGGGAGCATCCTCCCACGGTGACATGTTAGAACCACTCAGAATCCAGTGCCCAGAAGGGCAGACAACCACCGCCTCTGACTCGGTCCTCCCAGAGGAGCGCCGACGGACGCACAGCTCTGTCCCCTGCGCCCCCTCCCCCTAGGGACCCTCCTTTGGGAGTAAGAACATCCTTCCTGCGCTTTGTATAGTCGAAGAAACTGGAAATTGCGTAATTGTCCACGAGGAGAGGACTAGAAGCATAAATCGAACAGCTGTGGGTCTGCGCGTCCAGACGCCAAGGTAGGCCTATGACAGTCCAAGGGAGAAAGCAAGCTGCAGAGCAACCTGCATGATTTGTTGTTTCTAAAAGAAAACCCTAGATACATATGATCACTGTGTATGCCTAGAGAAAGATCTGGAAGGTGGCCCACTGAACTGTTCACAGTGGTTACTTCAGGAGAGTGAGAGTAGGTGGAGGAAGAGAACTTTCACTTTCATGTCAAACACATCTGCATTTTGGGGATCAGTTCACAATTCTCAAGAGCACACCTCGGAGCCCTCACTGGTTTCACTAACGCTCACATAGCACCTACTGTGTGTCGAGCGCTGTTCTAGGGACCTCGTGCCGATTAACGCATTTAATCCACACGTCGTTTCCATCATCTTCCCGATTTAGAGATGAGGGAGGCACAGAGCAGTTACATAACTTGCCTGAGGTCACACAGCCAGTGAGTGGTGGCGCTGGGATATGAACCTCTGCCGTCTCTCTCTAGCCACAGTGCCACCAGTGGATCATATCCCCTCAGAGGCCTCGTCGTGCCCTCCCAGAGGGCTTGCGTGCCCGACTCAGGTACTCTAAGGGCAGCTGAGGAGGCCGACCTGAGCTGGCCCAGGTCCCAACGCGATCCGAGGCTGGTAGGAGGTTTGTCCTCTTCTTTTCTAAGAGGGAAGCCATGAGGGCACCAGAGAAATAACGAGGGTGTACTCTGGGTAAGGCCCTGCAAGCTTCAAAGCCCTTTATTCTTCCCATACATCTCTGGCGTCACACAATGTTGGTCCTGAAAATCAAGGCCCTTCTGCTCCTTTGACAGATGAGGGAACTGAGGCCCAGAGACAGGGAGAGCCCCATGTCTGGTGGAGTTTGGTCAGGGCCTTTCAGGGCGAGAGGGGCGAAGAAAGCCCCATCCTGTTGTCCAGGCTTTCCCTGTCTTGCTCTCTGTGGGTGGTGAGGACCGTGCCTTGAGTCCCGTGGGCCTCCCGTTGGCCGCCAAAGGGGAGGCCCTCTCCAGGACACCCCTCACAGCTGGGACCCCATAGTTCCCACGAACCCTCATCCTCGGTGTCACTGGGGCCTGGACAGAGGTGTCACACTGCCCCAGAGCCACACCTTAGAATTCTGAGAATAAGAAGTGGCCCAACACCCCGGAGGAGACACACCCAGATGTTCGCAGGGGCAGATCTGGGGCGTGAAATTGCGGGTAATGTTTATTTCCTTCTTTGTACTTTCCCACACTTTCCAAATTTTTATTTGGTGAACATGTATCACTATTATAATTAGGCAAAGAATACTATACTTTTTTTTTTCCTCCAGGAGAAACCAAGGACGTATCACAGGACGTATTTCAGCCAGTGAGCGTAAACTATGTGACACTTGCTAAACTAAGAAGAGGACATGGGAGAGGGAGAGAGCCAGAGAACCAACATTTGTTGGGCGCCTACTACATAAGGTGCTAGGAATGCTACGTCCATGATCCCTGTAATCTTCACAACCGTCCTGGGCGTTTGGTGTTATGATCCCCATTTTATAGGTGGATATACTGCAGCCTTCCCTTGAGGTAGCAGAAAATGCAATTTCTAAACCAGTTTGGTTGTAATACATCCAGAGGATCTACTATCTCGTGCCTCTTAGAGAAGAGTCATCGGTTCTTCACGATACAGACGCCCCACCAGGCACCACTGTATTGTAGCCCAGAAGTGACCACTGTCCATCACTTGCCATTTTCTTGATGACGGAGGGTCATTTTATGTCCCGCGGGCAACGTTTTGTAGATAAAGCTGAAGTGGCCTCAGTCTACCATTTGGATGCCCGCAGCGCTGAAGACCAGGACCATCCTTCCAGAAGCAATGGATGACAGTGGTGGAAGAGCTGGAAGCAGGGTATGGTCTTTTGACTCGGGAATTCCATCCCCGGCGATGGATTCCTAAGAACTACTTCAGCAGAAGTAGGAAGCTGTAGGCATAAAGAAGTTTGTGTCAATATCAACTGCAACAGCAAATGCCGTATAATCCAACAAGGGGACAGCAGACTCTATAAACAGTGATCTTCGGCAACAGGGAAAGAGTTTCTCCATACGTGGTGGCCGACGCCCACAAGGCCCCACAAAGGCCCTGCCTCCTCCTAGTCACACGCTGGTGAGGCCCCGTCTCATGCTGACTAGGGCTGGCCTGGTGACCCGTGGGCCATGGCGGGAGGGACCACAGGCGGCTTTCAAGGAGAGATCGTGAAAGACGTTGCCCCTTTCACCTCAGTCTCTTGATCACTCCTTCGGGGGAAGCCGGCCACCATGTCATGAAGAAACGCAAGCCCCACGACCGAGAGGCCCAGGTGGAGAGGCGCTGAGGCCTCCCGCCAACAGCCACGCGAGCGCGCCATCTTGGGAATGGAGACCCCAGAGCCCCAGTCAAGCCCTCCGACGCCACAGCCCTGCCTGACGTCTCAAGTGCAACCTCATGAAAGACCATGAGGTAGAACCGCCAGCTGAGCTGCTCCCGAAATTCTTAACCCACAGAAACGCCGAGAGAGTAATAAGTGCTGTGGCTGGGTGTCCACGAAGCTGGAAAGAGATCCTGGCCAGGCCAAGGACATCGGCTCTCATCGTCTTCTTGGTCCTTGACCTTTCCCCAAAACCCCTCCATGAAATGCTTTGATCACACAAAAAAAAATTTTAATTAATGAATAAATGTTGTCATTTTAAGTCATTAGGTTTGGGGGTAACTTGTTCCACAGCGGTGGATAGACGATGCCCCATGCAATGGAACGCCATGCACCAAGGAACGTGAAGGAACATCTGCTGCATACAACATACGGCAATGTGGGGGAACTTCACAATGCTGAGCAAAAGAAGCCAGATAGCAGAGGACATTCTTTGTGATTTTACTGATAAAGAGGTCAGAAACACTCAAAACTGGGGCGCCTGGCTGGTTCAGCCGGTGGAGCACGTGACTCTTGATCTCAGAGTTGTGAGTTCGAGTCCCAGGTCTGGTGTAGAGAGGACTTAAATAAATAAGTAAATAAAACTTAAAAACACCACCATCAACAACAACTCTTGGGCACCTGGGTGGCTCAGTCGGTTAAGCGTCTGCCTTCGGCTCAGGTCACGATCCCAGGGTCCTGGGATCGAGCCCCACATCAGGCTCCCTGCTCAGTGGAGAGTCTGCTACTCCTTCTCCCTCTGCTGCTCCCCCTGCTTGTGCTCTCTCTATGTCTGTCTGTCTGTCTCTCTGTCAAATAAATAAAAAATAAAATCTTAAAAAAATTAAAATTAAAATTAAAAAAAAAACACTCAAAATTAATCTATGCTATCAGGGTAGTGGTTCCCTGTGAGAGGGGGAGGTTAGCGACTGGGGCCAGTCAGGAGGGGGCCCCCAGGTGCTGATAATGGTCTACTTCTCGATCCGGGGGTTGTTTAGTTCAGATCATGGGTGCGTTTAGTGTGCAAAATTTCATCAAGCTGTGCATTCGTTACTAGTCTGTATATACACCCTATTTCAATACAAAATGTTTTAAAATGACCATTTTACATGCACTGTATAAAATCTACACACCTGTGGCCAGGCTCTGGCCAGTGACATGGGAGAGCCTGTACGAGGATCTACGTCCTACAGCACGCACACGCTCTGGAAGACGGGAGGGAAAGAACCGGAAATGTTTGCGTTGGGGTGCAGGGATTCCTGGCCATCCTTACATCTTTATTTCATTTGCCATCTTTACATCTTTAAGTATTTCCTCTAAGAATGTATTATACTTTCTTTTCAAAGGAATGAACGAAAGGGCCAAGAGGTAAAATACATCTCTGTAGGGTGTCTAATCAGAAACTACGATCTAGTCTTCTAAGGAGTAAGCTTTTAATTCACCGAAAATCTGACCACCCAGATGAACTCCTTCCCAGAGATTTTACAAATAGCTCAAGTGTGGTTTCTCTAGCAGAATCGGTTATGGCAACTACCATTTACGTTAAAGGCAGAGAAGTGAAGGCCTGCTCCCAAGGTTCACAGAACCGCCTGGACTGGGGAGGGCGAGAGAAGGTATCACAACGTTGTGGGCAAAAAGAGCAAGAAGTTATCACTTTGCTGTGAAGAAAGAGGGAAATCTGCAGCCCTGGGAGATCCTTCCCAGTGCTGATAGTAACAGAATCAGAACAGAAACATCACCCTCCAATCCCAAAATGGCTGCAGACTCACAAGGAAGAGGAGAGAGTTCTCAAGTTTTACTGAGCTATGAACTTTGGGCTTCCCGTAAGAGCTTTCCAGAATAGGTTCCATATTGGTCCCAGCGAACCTCAGATGTTCCAATATTCAGGTCTCATCCTGAAGACACAGAATCTGTTCTTGCAGCCCCTTCCCTATGTCTTCTCTCAGCTTGGAAACTCTCAGTGGCTCCCCTGTCTGGAACCCTACAGCACAGCCTTAAAAAGCGTCCCTGATCTGTCCCCAAACTACGAGTCCAATCCGGGCACCCACAGTTGCCTCACCTCTGGCCTCCAGGCCAAGGCCCCATTGTATCCCTCACCTGGGAACTCCCTTCCCCAACTGCCCTGTGCACAGGGAAGGGCTTTCTAAGCTTCAAAGCTGTGGAAGAAACCACAAAGGAAATGTTTGACAGATCCGTGCTACAAAAAAACAAAAAATTCCGGTGTGATTAAAAAATACAAGCAAAATTAAAAGACAAGCAACTGGAAAGAATGTTTGCAGCAAATACCACAGACAGATGGTTAGAACCCTTAATTTATGAAGAACCCACATAAATCAATAAAAAAAAAAAAACACACAAAGATGCTCATGGATAAAAAGGCAAAAGACATAATAAGAAATACAAATATAAGTGGCCAGTAAACACTTGGAGGGGAAAAAGGATGCTCCATGTGTCTAAAAGGCCAAAGAAATGCAAATAACAGTAAGATGCCACGAAGTTAGCAAAGACTGCTCGAGATGGCATCCACCGCAGTGCTGGGGTTGGGAGGGCTGGGGTTGTAAACCAGTGTGATATTTCTGGCAAGCCATTTGGTGATATTTATCAAAAGCCTGAAAAATGTTCCTACTCTCTGTCCATATAACTTTTTAAGCCATTTCCTAGAAACTTTCCGGCAAATAACTTGGTGATACGTGTCAATCCTCTTAAGAGGTTCATACTTCTGGTTCACATTTCTGATTATTTTCTCCGAAACATGGAAGTTGAATGACGGTCAAAGATGTATGCACAGAGATACCCATTGCGATGTAAATGTGTGATAACAGAAAGCTGGAAACAACCTAAACACCCCTCAGCCGGGGAATCAGTGAGTCAATTATGATGCATCCATGTGATGGAAAGCATTAGGCAAATAGCCTTATAATAATCGAGAGTTCCAGATGATGAGGGAAATGCTTATGATATGATAGATTTGTAATGGAAAGTAAGCTGTAAAATTCTTAAAGAAAAAAAAAATCCTAGCCAATAGGTGGGAAAACACACCATGAATGGGGGTTGCCTCTGGTGGTGAATTCGGGGGAAATTTGTGTATGTGCTTCTTTACTTTTTTCTGTACTTTCCAAACTTTTTACAGTGAGCAGAATCACTTTGATAATCGTTTAAATGGTTAAAAACCTTTTATGAGTTTATTCTCCTTGATATACTGTTGATTTTCCTAGTGAAAAGCAATTTTCCCTTTTCAAGTCATCACAAGGTAGGTTCCATAAATATGCAAGAGTGAAGGCATGAACAGAGCTTTTAAGTCTCTTGTGAATCGTTTCTCACCTTCTGCTTTTATTGCCTGGTTATTTGTGTTTATGTCTTTTCTCCCTTGTGATCCTGGAAGCTCCTGGAAGGCAGAAGTCATGTGTCTCCATTTATTCGTGATCAGCCAGGGCCTTGTGCCCAGGAGGCACTCAGTGTTACTTTTTTAATGAATGGAGCATCTGATATAGTTAAGTGTGTTTTAACAGATTAAGATTGTGGATCCCAAGGATTATTTGTTAAACCCATTCCTTATGAAGTCAGGGAACTCCCTGAGAGTCAAGCAGAAGGGATCAAGATGTGGTTCCAGGGGCCACTGTGCCCCTACCTGGTGGCCCTCCCATTGTCTAGTCCCTAGAACACTGTCCTAGGGGTCCCCATACTGCAACTAATTAACTAAGGGGCTGTGGGCAAGTCACTCATCCTTAGTTCGTTCCTGGATGAGCCAAGGGTGCTGGAGTATTTCCAGCTTGCTGGTCACCATGAGTTCTGAAAAGCATCTGATAATGGAAGTTGGCTCAGAATATCAAGTTGGTAGGTATCTTAAGAACACTGTAGAATTTTTCTTAAAAAAAAAAAAAGTCTCCCTGGATAATCAAATCAATACTATGCACCAGTGACTTGGGCTCCATTTCACTTTATGTACATTTTTTGTCTTTAGGTCCAATTTTAAAAATAATTAAAATAGGCAACCTTAAGATTCTGCTAAGGACCATCCCTATCTTGAAGCACGTGTAGAGATGAAGAATGATCTCTCTGCAGTCAACCATTTAGGAGAAGGACAGGACATCGTTGACCTAACAGTGTTGCCAGTGAAGGAAGGGAAGGGAGAGATACCCTGGCTTTTCTTCTGCCCCTCCCTGGATGGGGAACCCTTCCACGCCGCCTCAGCAGCAGGACGATTTCGCTGGCTTACAGTGACCTCTGCAGACAGCAGCGATTTGCACATCTAGCTCTGAGCCAAGGAGGTAGGGAGGCCCCCGTCGCTCTCCCCGGGCTCCCGGAGGCCCCCTCTCATCGGACAGGACACCTCCTCCAAAGCGCGAGGTGCACTCGGTACTTAGTGTTGGAAAGGCTCAGCGCTGCTGAGCACCCAGCACACGGCACCTGACTGCGCCCCGGAGCTGGAGCTGGAGCTGGGCCGGGTACAGCCCTGCGCCCCCTGGAAGAGTCGAATTGGGGAGCTCCGGGCGGCCCCACCGCTGGGCCGAGAAATCAGCCTTGCTGAGTCCCCACTTGAGCCTCTCCCAACCCAGCGCCATAGGTAAATTCCGGAGCCAGACAGGCCTCTATCACCTTCCTGGGCACGTGGCCTGGGGCAAAGTATTGAACATTTCTGTGCTTAAACGTATCTTTAAAAAAAAAAGAAAAATGGGGTTAATAATCATCCCTACCTAATAGAGTGCTGACCAGATTAAAAGATCTGAAACATTTTATTTACATATAAATCAAGACATTTTATATATTTATATGTACGTTATATATAAGCTTAACACAGTAACTGGCACATGGTGTTTACTGAAAATTATTACTCTTATTTGAGGAAGTCAGAGAAAGAAGGATTACTTGAAAAAAATCGAGGAACGCGCGCTCTCACTGTATACAAACCAGAATGAGGGCTGCGTCGCCGGCCGTCGTTCTCCCGAAGGACCCCCTCCCCGGGGGGCTCCCCTCACCGGATGCCACTCCTCCTGCCGGGGCCGCGGCCGGGCCTGGAACGGTGCCCCCTCCCGGGGACGACGGCGTCCCGCCGCGCTCCGCGAGGACCCCTCCTGCGGGGGGCCTGCCCCGCGCCCCGGCCCTGCGCCCGCGCCGTGCCCCCGCGCCCCCGCCCTGCGCCCACCATGTCCCCCCGCGCCCCCGCCCTGCGCCCGCGCCGTCCCCCCGCGCCCCCGCCCTGCGCCCACCATGTCCCCCCGCGCCCCCGCCCTGCGCCCGCGCCGTCCCCCCGCGCCCCCGCCCTGCGCCCACCATGTCCCCCCGCGCCCCCGCCCTGCGCCCGCGCCGTCCCCCCGCGCCCCGGCCCTGCGCCCGCGCCGTCCCCCCGCGCCCCCGCCCTGCGCCCGCGCCGTCCCCCCGCGCCCCTGCCCTGCGCCCACCATGTCCCCCCGCGCCCCCGCCCTGCGCCCGCGCCGTCCCCCGCGGCGGGGACCCGCGGCGGCCGCGTTGCTGGCCCTCCCTGCAGCCGCCTGCCGCTGGGACCGGCTGCGGCCGTCGCGGCCCAGGCGCTCCCGGCGGCCACCCCCCTCCCCGCCCCGCGAGGGCGCGCGGAGGAGCCGGACTGTGCGGGGAGCCGAAGCCCGCGGGCCGCCTCGCCTCCCGGCAGCGGGTCCCCCTCCCCGGCGCGGAGGCGCGGGTGAGAGCGGCCGTTCGGCACCGGAAGGAGGGGAGGAGGCCGGAGGTGCCTTCGCCGCGCGCGGCAGCCCTGACAGATCTGATAAAGAGGAAGGAAGCCCGCGAGGCTGCCGAGCCGAGCTGCCGGCTCCCCAAACTGACGAGGGTCTGCAGCTGTCACGGCCGTTTGCAGCCGCGGGAGCCACAGCTGGGGAGCCTGCGCCCCCTGCCGGTCGTTTTTAGAACCGCACGCAACGGGCGAAACGAAAGTCGGCCAGGGCGAGGCTAAGGCTTGCCGCAGAGCGAGGTGGTGAGCCTTCCGGGAGGAGGCAGGGCCTGTCGGGGCCTGGGCCCTCTACCTTCTGCTCCTCGCCAGGGCCCTGCCCCCGAGAACAGACAAGAATAGAATTGCTTCCGCTGGAGCTCGGCTGGCCTGGCCACCCAATGACCTTGGCCGGCAGGGGCTGGGCCACCAAGTCCACCCTAGTAAGAGCAGAAACACTTGGGCAGATTGCAGAACACGATCTGCATATTGCTCCATGCCTTGGGCTTGAACTTTGGCTCTGAACTTAATAGCTGTGTGACCTTGAGCAACTTTCTTAACTCCCTGTGCATCAATTTCTTCATCCATAAAATGGGAATCATAGTTTCCATCTCACAGGATTGTTAGGGAGACTGAGTTAATATATGTAAAGTGCTTAGCATAGTTCCTGGCATATAATAAGCACATATGTTAAAATTTTTTTCAATTTCAGTGTAGGTCTTAGTCTTATTTTGCACTTGCTATATAATTGGTTCCTCATTCTGGGGATTCTCTTGCTGTCTTTCAGTCCGTTTCTAATTTAATTCTACTGTGGTCAGAGAACATACTTTGTATTATTTCATTTCTTTGAAATTTATTGAGACTTGCTTTATGGGCCAGCATATGGTCTACTTTGCTAAAAGTTCCTGTGTACTTGAAAAGAATGTGCATTCTGCTGTTGTTGGATATAGTGTTCCAGTGTCAATCACGTCAAGTTGGTTAAGTGAGTTATTCAAATTCCTTAGTGCGTGTTTGGGGAGGGAAGGGTGCTTTTTTTTTCTTCTGTTTTTCTATCAGTTACTGAGTGAGCTATGTTAAAAATCTCTAATTACGATGGTGTATCTGTTTCTCCTTCTGGCTTAACTTTTGCTCTATGTATTCAAGACTGTTATCAGATGCATATAAATTTAGGACTGTTGTATCATCTTAGTAAATAAGCTTTTCATTACAAAAGGACATTATAAATGTCCTATATTATAAAATGTCCTTCTCTTCAGCTCTAGTAATACTTCTTGCCTCAAAGCCTGCTTTGTATGGTAAATGGTTACATCTGCTTTCCTTTGATTTACTGTGTCCACAGATTGACTGTTCCATCATTTAATTTCAGCCTTTCCGTATCCTTATAGTTGGGTTCTTCTGCATGTCATATATTGGGGTTCGATTTTTTTTTATCATTCAACACTGACTTTTCATCAGATTGTTTAGTCCACTTATACTTAATAGAAGTACTAATGGTGTATGGTTTATGGCTAACCTTTTGCTTTGTTTGTTTTCAGTTTGTCCTATCCTTTGTTCCTTTAGTCCTCTTGTCCTTTCTTTGGGATTCATTGGATTTTTTTTTTAACTCCTTTCCCCTTGAACCTTAGATTTTTAAGTTATTTGTTCTTGTAATTATCGTAATAGCTACCCTAGACATTGCAATATTTATTATAGTTTTCTTAAATTAGTACTTTTACCACTTGCCAGATAAAGATCCTGCAAGTACTTAACTCCACTTACTTTCCTACACTTACACCAATGTTATATATTCATAATACGTAACTACTGTTATATATTCCACATTGTATATTTTCTTCCATTATATTTTACTTCTGTAAGCCAGTTACATGTTCCACAAAATGTACTTCCAAAGAATATAAATATGTAAATGTTTACTTCCACAGAAATAAAATATACAACAGTGCATGTCTTCAAGACATTATTGTTGCTGTTTAAATAATCAATATGCTTTTATATTTGCCTACAGATTTTATCTTTGCCATTGCTTTTTATTCTCCCTTCTGATTCTGTACCTCAATCTGGGGGTCATTTTCCTTTGGGCTGAAGTACTTCCTTCGGTATCTTCCTTAGCACTGGTTTGCTAGTGCCGAATTATCTGGTTTTGTCTGTCTGAAAATGCCCTTTTTGACTTAGCTTGTGAGAATACTTTCACTAAGTATGGAATTCTCCATTGGTAAGGTTTTCTCTTTTATTTATTTGACAGAGAGAGACACAGCGAGAGAGGGAACACAAGCAGCGGGAGTGGGAGAGGGAGAAGCAGGCTTCCCGCCAAGCAGGGAGCCCAATGTGGGGCTCGATCCCAGGACCCTGGGACCATGACCTGAGTTGAAGGCAGACGCTTAACGACTGAGACACCCAGGCACCCCAGGTTTTTTCTTTTCTTTTTAGCAGTTTAAAGATTCCCCTGTCTTCTGGCTTCCAATGTCTCTGCTGAAAAGTCAACCATTAGTGGGCGCGTGGGTGGCTCAGTTGGTTGGGCAACTGCCTTCGGCTCAGGTCATGATCCTGGAGTCCTTGGATCGAGTCCCGCATCGGGCTTCCTGCTCAGCAGGGAGTCTGCTTCTCCCTCTGACCCTCCTCCCTCTCATGCTCTCTGTCTCTCATTCTCTCTTTCTCAAATAAATAAATAAAATCTTTAAAAAAAAAAAAAGTCAACCATTAGTTTTATTGTTACTCCTTCAAAGGTTATGGGTCATTCTTCTCTGGACGTCTTTAGGATTTTCTCTGTCTTTGGTTTTCAGCAGTTTGACTATGACATTCTTAGGTGTGGTCTGTTTTTATTCCATATGGAGTTTGCTGAGGCTTATGAATCTGTGGTTTGATGTCAACAGTTTTTTTTTTTTTTTAAGATTTTATTTATTTATTTGAGACAGAGAGAATGAGAGAGAGAGAGCACATGAAAGGGGGGAGGGTCAGAGGGAGAAGCAGGCTCCCTGCCGAGCAGGGAGCCTGATGTGGGACTCGATCCAGAGACTCCAGGATCATGACCTGAGCCGAAGGCAGTCTCTTAACCAACTGAGCCACCCAGGCGCCCCTGATGTCAACAGTTTTGAGAAAATTCTCACCCATTATTTCACTAAATACTGCTTCTGCCCCATTATGTTTCTGTCTGTGACTTTAGTTACACATATCTTTATATTGCGTTGTCTCCTATGCTTTTCTTGTAGATTTTTGTTTTGTTTTTGCATTCTTTTTACTGTCTTTGCTTCAGTTTGGATTTTTTATGGTGACCTACCTTCAAGCACTAATCTTGTCTTCTGCTGTGTCCATCTTGCTGTTAAGCCCATAAAATGGATTAATTTCAGATTTGTGCTTTTCAGCTATTTAAAAAAAAAAGCCTTATTAAGGCATAATTTACAAACTGTAGAATTCATCCATTTTAGGTGAACCCAGATGGTTTATAGAAGTCTTTTCTTTTTCCTTTTTCCCTCTTAATAATATATTTTGGAAAGGGGCGCTTGGGTGGCTCATTCAGTTAAACATCTGATTTTGGCTCAGGTCATGATCTCAGGGTCCTGGGATCAAGCCCCATGTTGGGCTCCACGCTCAGTGGGGAGTCTGCTTCTCCATCTCTCTTTCCCTCTCCCCCAGCCCCTCCCCCCTCTCATGTTCTCTCTTGCTCTCAATCTTTTTTTTTAAAGGAATGTATTTTGGATGACATTTAAATTGAATTTTTTTTTAAAGATTTTATTTATTTATTTGAAAGATAGAGACATAGCAAGAGAGGGAACACAAGCAGGGGGAGTGGGAGAGGGAGAAGCAGGCTTCCCGCCGAGCAGGGAGCCCGATGCGGGGCTCGATCCCAGGACCCTGAGATCATGACCTGAGCCGAAGGTAGATGCTTAACCAACTGAGCCACCCAGGTGCCCCTAAATTGAATTTTAATTCAAACAGAAAGGAAATCCACATCACTAATTTTGCCAATTAACCTGTCAATATACTGATTATCCAAAACTTCAGCATGGCAGAGCTGCCTCTATGCAATTTTTAAAAATTGAGATATATACCATAAAATTCACCCTTATAAAGTACACAATTCAGGGGCGCCTGGGTGGCTCAGATGGTTAAGCGTCTGCCTTCGGCTCAGGACATTGTGTCCAGGTCCTGGGATAAGCCCCACATTGGGCTCCCTGCTTAGCAGGGAGTCTGCTTCTCCCTCTTCCTCTGCCTCTCCCTACTGCTCCTGCTGTCTCAAATGAATAAAAAATTCTTAAAAAAGAAAAAAAGTACACAATTTAGTGGTTTTTTGTATTTTAGTATTCACCAAGTTGAATAACCATCACCATTACTTAGTTCCGGAACATTTTCATCACCCCAAGAAGGAACCACATACTCAGCAGCAGTCACTCCCCATTCTTTCCTCCCCCA